GAGCCGCCGCGTAGCTTGCCACGACGCATGGATGCGAGGGCTACGACGTGCAAGCTTGTTTATAGACCGCGTGGTAAGATCAAGACATGTGGTTGTATCATGTCGAAGTCTGCCGACGTCTTGTGAATTACCGCCATCCTTCCGGTGTGTAACTCAAGGTATAGTGGCGCTCGAGATCCGGGTAGGCACCATTTACGGACATTAGCTTCTATCGCACAAGGATGACAAGAGCCGGCCGGCGACCCTGACAGGATCGGTCGGCCGCCACGTCGCTCGGTGCTGCGACACGCGCTGCTGCCGTGGCCTCTGATCACCACGGGATGCCCGGGCTGCCTGTCAGCGCCGCGGCGCCTCTCCACCAGGCTTTTCAAAGTGAGGTGTGGTGCCACAGCGCCGCACGTGCCTGAGCCGCCCAAATCGAAATCATGAGCGCCAGCCGGCGGGGACGATTGCGGGGATTACGTGCGAGTTGAGGCCGCCGGTTGTGAGGATTAGCGCCTGCGATTGCGAGGAGTGACGCGCTGGCCGGCCCGCGGGGCGGGCCTGCAGAGCGGTGGGGCGCGATTGCGAAGGGTGACGCGCCGGCCGGCCCGCGGGGCAGGCGTGCAGAGCGGTGGGGAGCGATTGCAACAGGCTGGGGACCAGACGCCGACGTCAAGGATTAGTGGCGCTCGTTTAGGAGGCGACTGCTGTCCCGGGCGAAATAAGATTTTGATGCGGCTGGCTCAGGTGGCTTTGCGGGAGCGACGGAAAGAACATGAATCGAAGGCTATTCATTGGAACGGCCTACAATGGTGCAAAAGCATGGCGGCAATCAGACGTGGGAACGCAGAGCCCTAAAAAGACCCCGCATCCGATCCCAGGATCCCATTACTATGGAGCCTATGATGTCTTGGATCCACCCTTGTGATGTAGGCACAGGTCTGGCGGCAATATGACCTGCGTTGTGCGAATTGCACAGGATATATACGCATAATACACGCTATAGTAATTTTAGCATATTATGTAGGAGGACAGGATGCCACTACATTCCCACATCCACTACACGACAGCACCACGCAGGAAGGCAATATGAACCACAGCAATTACATGGTTCCCAGCCTACATAGTACATACAGCCCACGCACTGGCTGCCCCCGGCTGCCTGCAGTGCATAGTCTACTGGATGTCTGTACCACGGGTATCCATCTAGAGACGGGTAGCCAGCTGTTTTATTCAGATGATCAGGAAGTGCTGGAGGAGCGTGTTCACACACACACACACACACACACACACACACACACACACACACACACACACACACACACACACACACACACACACACACACACACACACACACACACACACACACACACACACACACACACACACACACACACACACACACACACACACACGCACACACACACACACACACACACACACACACATATATGTATATATATATATATATATATATATATATATATATATATATATATATATATATATATATATGTACTATCATCGAGTATTACTGATGACCATTCTTTTGGTCGCGCGGACCATAGCGACCCAACATTACTATTGTGATAAGCAAAGGTTTAGACGCGAACACAGAAGAGGAAGCTGGGTGTGGGTGAAGTGCAGTATTTTCTTAGCATATGCCATAATTAAAAGGAAGGGGCCTTCGGAAAATTAAACAGACCGGTAACACGCGGTATGACCACGAACGGCTTAAGGGGGGTACTGATATGGTATGGAGCCATTTGCATAAAGGATGAGCGTATCCATGATGACCTCTAACTGCCCTCACCCCACCCCACCCCTCACGCAAATGAGTCAAGCACGGTGATTTAGCGGGCGGTGGGCTTGTCACAAAACATGCCACTTTACGAGCCCATCGAATTCGACAAATCCATGAATTTGAGTGTTGAAGAAATACATGACCACATGTATAATTTGCGGGAAACCGAATTAGTCTACTACGATATGTAGAGCGTCGTGCTTTTTTATCGTGATCCGTTCACATCGTGTTTCATCGAGGCGGTACCGGATGCGTATGGGGAATGCTTCGGCGGTCGGGAAGCATCGATTTCGACAATTCCTTTCTTGTACTTGGTAGACAGAAAAAACAACAACATGATCTTAGTGTTCCAGCTACCTAGCGTCGATCAAATCGATGAAGGTTCATCGATTAATGTACTATTTGTGTTGTGATTGCCACAGGGAAAAGGAATGGGGCAAAATCACGCACCCGGAAGGTGCCTAGTTTTACATGTGAGGACCATGAGGTCCAGAAATACATGGTCAGAGGGTTTCGTCTTCTGCATACCGAACCGATGGCTGACGGCGCGCTGAATGTTTGCTCTTTGTGATCCCTACAGGAGAGAGGAGCACTCCGCAGTTTACAGGAGGTTTAAGACGAGGTGTTGCTGAAAAAGGAATAATTATTGGACCATCGTCCTCAGCATTGGTGTTAATTCACGAACAACGTTACGGGCAGACATCCTGAAACGTTGTCATGTATCTGCTGCCGAATGTATCGCGACGTTGTCAGAGGCCATTTGGCCCTGCCAAGGACCTGCTAATAATACATTAAATAATGGCGTAAAGGCATGCACTTGTTTCAGGCTCGAATGTCTCTGCAGGTTTCAAGATAGGAAATTACAGTCTCAAGACGGCAACCTGACATTTTAACCACACAGCCAAGTAGAAAGCTGTTCCGACGGCTCGGTAGTAGTTTCAAGGCTGTGTCTCACGTTGGTTTATTTTTTAGCGGGGGAGCTACACGGGCGATTAAACGATAGATACATATGCATGCATCTGTGTATGTCCATACGGCGCAAACATATGGCCACGGAAGCGTTCATCATTGATTCTCTGCCACCAAGACCTGGCAATGTACGTGACGTGATACGTGATAATGTACTTATTTCCCGACAAAAATGTCTGGAATCGATCACCTGAAAACTGCCAACAGTTGGACAGACCTGTCTGGAATGGTTCGGGCATCATTCAATCAGCTCAGAGGGCGTTCCGTTTACCCACGAATCACTGACGGGTGCAAGACTTCTTGTCTTGCATATTCATAACATATCCCGACTACAGTCGCCAGCAGTCCGCATGCCAGCTAACGAAAAAAAACAGCAGCTATCTCCGGTGTTCTGAGTTGTCACCGGCACAAAGTGCATGGTGCCAATGATCGCACCCGGGCGATCTGCGAGAATAATTTGCGCCACACACCGTAGCGGTGAAACTCCAGCCAGCATGACCCAATGAGTAACCCTTTGATGATTCACACTTACATGGGCGTGATACCAGGGATAGGAGATGCACTGATAATGGGCACCAGCTGCTAAACAAAACCATTAGTTCTGCGGCACTCTAGCCAGGATGTACGAAGGCATGAAATCACTGCTCTTCCCACCTTACATCAACACAGCTATGAGCACAGACTTTCAGATTTGCTTACGAGTCCATTTGCACCCTTACTGTGCTTAGCCACATATTACCTACGGATGATATACACTTGTGCGGGCTGCACCAAGAATGCAATAAATAAAAAACACTATACAAATTCAGTGACGTCGATCTGCGTGCATAGATGTAAGCAGAGGTGAGGCAACTGTCGGACAACCTAACCTGCAACCAATCTGCATTTGTCCACGGTATCTTCCCACTTTATTTCAACTAGCTGCAATCATATTTTGCATTTCTGTACGCACGTCGAGTAGCCCTACAGTTGAGGAACATTGCATTATAGGCTTTGTGGAACATAACGTTTTTTCTTTTAAAAAAATTGCGTTGCATTCCAGTACAAAGTGCATAGAAGGCCCAAACACACATCTGGGTAGCACATGAACATGCGAGACAGAGCCCTGTTAAAACAACACAAACTGACGCAGACGGCACAACCGAAACAATCCTAAAGCAAGAGACAATCAGATTCAACTCAAGGCGTCCCATCTTATTGATCAGATTCGGAATGATTCAGGAATCAGAGGTCGGAGATTCATCAAGACCTGCAAATAGGCATGAAACTAAGCTGGCGAACCGAAGTCCAGGGCTGGAATTTGTCCACATGAAAGTCGAACTATGTGACAACCATGCAAATTTTGTTGTCATTATTATGTTATCGGTGTGGAGCATTTAAGGGCAGCATTCCATTTTTCCAATAAGAAAAATGAATGTCATCCATCGACCGATGAAACGGTTGTTTTGCAGACGCCATGCAAAACTTGTAAGAAGCCCGCTGACCAGCAATTTCGACGCCATGTGTAAATTCGACCGAGGATGGCTAGGCCGCAGGAACCCAGCGAGGCGCGACAACACCGCTCATCGGGTCGGCCCGACACGAAGTCCACGAGCACGTTCGTGACGGGGCAGCGGGCGTGTCACATCCCGTCGTCGTCACACCCACCTGAGCGTGTAGAGGCGCGGCGTGACGCGTGCAGCCGTGCCCCGCCGCGAGATCGGCCACTGCCGGCGGGCGTCGCGCGCGCCTGCCGCTCCAATTGATCAGCCTCGATCCTGGCGGCCGGCAGGCCAACTAGCGGGACGCCGATCGATAGAGCGGAGCCAGCCCGGCCCGGCCGGGGCGCCACCTGGCGGGCTCTCCTCTACAGGTGGCCTGGCCGCCGGCGCGCGGGCCCTCCCCCGCAGGGCTCTGCTGGCGGGGGGCGCTGGCTCGCCCGACGCTGGCAACAGTGACGCGCTGGTTTGTCCTGAGAGGCTTCGCCTTCAGGGAGTGCCGCGAGACATGTGACGAGCCAGCTGGGCGGCCAAGTGTTTGGTAAGGCGATCTTCATGTGCTGACGATAGCACCGTGGCGGTCGCGACGTCGGTTTGTGTAGCGAGGCCGACACGAACTAACCTTCACGCAATTCACTCTCAACGGCCGCAACGATTCGACCGCGGGGGACGCCGACAGCTTTCTGCGGTACGACTGAGCTGTCGTTTTCCGGGGACGCGGCTCGATGACACCCCACCCGCCAGCCCCCCGCTGAACACTCCCGACTAGTCACCTGAGTCGTCAGGGCGGGACTCGCCGACTCAGCGGGGATGACTCGAAACCCCCGTCGCGCGGTCGCGCCGAAGGGATGCCCCAGTCGCTCAACTTTTCCTCACTGTGCATCTGACTTCGCGGACTCTAGAGTGAACACCGGTCGAGTACTGCGGCGATAACAGTCCTGAACCATGCCACCGATGCCCGGTGTTCGAGCTCTCACAAGCCCGCATCGAATAAGCGACGCCACAGCTGCGACCAGACGGCTGGCCGGATCACAACGGAGAACTGACGCGGCTCTTACGACGGACGCAAGGTGACGGACGCCGTAAAACACGGGAAATGAAGCGTCAGGCCATGACATGGGCTGGCTCCGGCGCCCGCCGTGAGCAGATACGGCATCCACCAATCCTTCCGAGCGGCACCGTGGGGCGGTTGGCTCCCGGAGCACGCAGCTCGGCGCGGAGCCCGGCGGTCGCGCCCTCCTGCGCCTCCAATGCCTCACCTCGCCATATTCTGACTGTCGCCGTAAATAGCCGTTGCGACAAAGTAGATTCAGCTCGTTTGATGACGGAGACGGAGACAGCCTCCCACCCTTCGCGCGCGGTCTTGCGCCCGCTGAGGCACAGGATAGCGCGCAGAGAAGGAATAACCAACTGCCGTTAACGGGTGCCAACTCTTGTGTTTTGACCACACATCAAGGTGCACGAATTGCTGGGTATGCTGCTCCCACCAGTTTTCTTGAGGTGCCGAATGACGAAGTTACCCCGAAATACTCAGACATCGGGCCCAATTGCACACGCTAGTATACACCACTTGACTTGGGAGGAGGGCATGACTTCCTTGCCCCCTCCCCCCCCCCTTAGCTAAGTCCCTGGCTTCAACCTTCGTGCAAGCGGCGCAGAACGTACTCGGGTATCTCTCACTTCAGTAACAAGCATGGCGTGCTCTGAATACGTCCTGCCACACAAGGCAACGTTCCCATACACTCTCGGTACCAACTTTCAGGGTTGTGCATTTGGACTTGTTAGAGACGGTGGCGAATTCAATGTCATTTTATTGGAAACGGTTAATGCATACACAGAAACAGGAACTCAGGACGCGAAACCCACCACACGTGTTCCCGTCAAATCAAAGGAGCTGCGTCAAAAATGACCCAGAAGCATTACACGCGCAGGCCACTGGAGAGCGTGCCGCCTCGCCCAGAGCCGCTCGGACAAAGCCACCAATCAGCGCCGCGCAAAGGGTACGGCCCGGCCTACAACAGGCGAATTTGCAACGATTGTGTTTGAATATGGTATTGAACAGTGCGGCGTCTGATGAGCCCGCCCCGGACACGGGTCCGCGCGAGCCGAGCCCCACCCGTGTCCGGGCGCCGGGCCCGCCACCGGGCACAGGACACGGGTCCGTGTCTGGGCGCCCGACGAGCCAAACCCGACGTGATTACTTCTTGGCGGAGCCGCCGGCCTCGGCCGCGGCGGCCGTCTTCTTCTCGGCGGCCTTCTGCTGCTTCAGCCGCATCATGTCCGCGTCCCTGGCGGGCAGCGGGCCGGCAGCGTCAGACGCAGCCACCAAATATGGCATGTCACATCACAACCACATACAGCACGTCATATCACAACTGACACATACAGCACACATCACAATCACCACATACAGTATGCCTCATCACAACCACCCCATACAGCACACATAAGAACCACCACATCAAAACACACAACAAGTGCCACATATAGCACACATCACAACCACCACATTCAGCACACACAACAACCACCACATCACAACACATTGCAAGTGCCACATATAGCACACATCACAACAACCACACACAGCATACTACATCACACCACATTACAATCACCACATCACACCACACTACAAGTGCCACATAAAACACACATCATAACCACCACATACAGCACACCACATCACATCACATTTCAACCACCACATCATACCACATTACAAGCACCACATGACACACATCACAACCATCACACACAGAAATGGTATGCATCTCATTTCCTCCCCTGACAAGAGATTGAAATAATCAAATACAGACATGTATTTGATAACTGATGATAGTTGATGCATATAACATTCAGCACCAACATGTCACATCAGCTTGGAGCACTGGGATCATCAGACACCCATGCATTCTGCACCATATTGATGTTTCAAAAAGGTCACACCTATCAGATGATTGACCAATGTTTGGGCTTTAGGGCGCACCCACTACTAAGGTCATTTCATGTCCACCAACCATGAGATGAAGAAGTTCAATGTGCTAGGTGGAAAAGGCTTATGTCAGGGATGATACCTGAGCACCATGAGTGGCAGATCTTTTTGTTGCCTCAAATAACCTGAACTGCCAAAACTGAACCATAAAATGTCAAGAAATATACCATGCTTAACAATGTCAGCATACATACAATGTATTGCTATCCCAATATGTAACCCCTGATACACCAATTAGCTGTCAGTGGCACTTAAGTTGGCAAAGACTACTGAGAGCGCACCTTTGCTTCCTCTGTTCCATGCTAAGTCCTTTGTTACCATCCATTTCCTCCGCCTTCTTTGACTTGTCTTGTCTCTTCTGAGCCTTTTGGCGTGCCAGTTCTCTCTGGTTACCACCTGAAGAACAGTTTCAAAAATATTGCTTCAGACCCCAGTTTTCAGCCCCCCCTCATCAAAACATGCTGAACATTGAGCACATACATCATGCATCACATCAAACCACCAATATCAAAATAATCAAACAATATAAACATTCTATCAGGTAGTCTGCTAATAGCCACAGTGTACATGCATAGAGAAGGAGCTGAATAATTCAAGACAATCTGGATCCTGAATGTATTATGCATGCATGCATTAGATACACATGTGTATCTGCTCACACTTTTGATGACCTGCACATACTTACGTGTCATTGTGGCTTATGCCTGGGAGCCACCCAGCCTGAAATACATACCTATGTGTCAATCCTTATACCACCCATATCCGGCACATTCAATGGTTTGCTCACAACACAAAATATAATGAGATCATACTGTGCACACAAGGAGCAGGATGATCTGACCCTAAAAAGAAGCAATAGAACCAACTGCAACCACCAACACATCCCAAACTGAACCATTACTACATTTTTCACATTGCTTCAACTGTCACACTATGGACTATAACACTGCCATGTTGAAACAGACTGTAACACTGTTATTTTGAAAGACTATAACATTGCCATATTTAAACAATCATTATAGCATACTTACATCCATATAGTCTGTACCAAACATGAGCATTGCATTATCATTATGTTACAGAAAGAAAACTTACATCAACATGAGCATTGCATTATCATTATGTTACAGAAAGAAAACTTCCATCAAAGGCAGGATACTACATGAATCAAGAATATACCACAATTTTCCACACACTGAACTCCCAAACAGTTTGTTGTATGACCAATCCTGTCAATCATTCTTAATGCAATCATATCCCTCCTGTAAATGAATGTATCCTAATCACATTGAGGGGAATGGGCCTTTCATACATAGCCCAATATGCAATCATTTCCCTCCTGTAAATGAATGTTTGTATCCCAACCACTTTGAAAGGAATGGGCCTTTCACACCTAGCCCAATACAGACAGTCATGGCATGCCCCATGTGTATGACTTGACCAGTGGGTTGCTAACTAAAAAACTAGGAAATATATTAACTTTTGTCTCAAAGCTCTACTTGGAAAACATCAATAATGACATCAGTAGCACATGTAAGTCTTTGGGCTGCCTCCTGGCTGGGCAGCCCCACTAGTTCTACACCAGCAACTCTATGATAGGACATTTTTCCATTTAAGTTGATTGAACCATATGAGCATGAGACACAATATTGTACAAAGGGAATATCTGTCTTCTACAGAAAGGAAGTATTGTTCTTGTGAGGGAGTAAACATTTCTGCAATAACAGCAGCATCCACATCACAGCTCATACACAATACCATAGGTGGTCACTGGTACCCTAGGCCACTGCCAGCTGAATGGATGTGAGATTAAACACATCCTGACACCAAGCATGAGATGCAGTTTATTCCCTCATGTCCAGACTGCAATAAGCACATGCTATGGTTAGCATGTATTGTGAAGCAGTGACATCTCAGCAACAGCTTCAGCATATGCACAGCATAACTCTTAGAGCACTTAGTTTGGTGAAGCTGCTACCAACTTCACCAGACAGTCAAGGATTAAACAAGTTATATTCCTAGAAAAACTGCAAGGAGAATGTTCCCCCAACATGTCTGCAAGCAAAGGAAATATGAAAATTCAGTGCAACTTGGTCTGACCTAAGTTTGGGATGTGCATGCCCCAGATGCAATGTCCACACTAAGCATTGCTTGTGTGAGCCCTGACCCCTATCACCTGATCACACAATTCCAGGTCACCAGCAAAATTAAGTGATGAAAGTTTACCATGTCATGATAATTAGCATGACACCTTGTCCTGCCCTCTGATGTCACCTGACCTTAAGGTTGGCCTAGGGTACCACACCTGCCCCACCCCAGTACAGCACCCTAAGTGACTTCAACCTGCCATGGGTGGTTGGATGAGAGGGCAGGTGCTGAGGCATCAGGACAGACTAAGCCAACCATCAGGGTACAGGCATAGTACATATTTTGTTATATTTGCCTGCCAACAATGCACTTTCAATCTATGTTTGTGTGAAAAATGTTCTTGAAGCACTTTTGACTGAAATCATTGTTCCAACATCATAATTCCATAAGGAATTGGCTCTCTATGAGCTGAAATTGGTGGTGACCATGCATCAGACTAAGAGCTCAGATTGAAAATGTATATGCACTGACATTGTTGCCACAATGGTTGCCACCACATGCCACATGTTGAGGTTACCACACATTTGCTAGCAATAAGGCTGGAGGGAGTCAAAATTCACACTGTCTTTCATAATCCATCATGCCACAGCTGAACCAACATGACAACAGGTACATACATGCACATTGGAAAACCCAAGCCAAATTGCATGCACCACATGATCCATGGGGAGAATAAGCTATTTCATATCAAGGGGCACTGGCTCAGGGATTGCACATGACACAGACACAAGCCCATGACCAAATCCACGTCCATCATTGTGCTAGATTACAGTACAATGTGCATGACACAATGGGTGCCAGCTAAAAAACAGATGGTACGCACGATCTTGATCAAGGTGGCGCACGAACACAATTCTCACTTAAAGACTTAGAACACCTCCAGAATATTCCCCAAAGCCCGTAGATATTTGTTAAACTAAGGACGATATTCTCTGCCGCAGTGTGACCTTCTCCACGTAAATCCAGCACAACCCCGAACTTCTCCGAAGCGAACCTTCCGGAACGCATCCACCGTGGGCCACGCTTTATCGAGTGCGTACCCTCAGCCTGCAATCCTTTTTTCCCAAGGTTTAGAAATATCAGAGATTTGATAAGAAAAGGTGGTAGCACATCGAGTTCGATAAATGACGTAATTGCTTATAAGGAAAGGATTTTGAATATGCCAGTGAAATGGTAGCTTCAGCTGCGAGGAGTTCATGCGCACTTGGTTCGTAAGCGCCGATCTCATTTTATCCCGTATTTGTATACAAATACAGAGATCGAGGGCGATCCTTCCAGATAGCAAGGGGAGAGGCATGCAGAGCCTGGCATTAGCCGCGCACGAAAGCGGATGATTATAGAAGATACGTGATAAGTGAATGCTTTGACAGACTGTGTATCTGTGAGCTGTGATAGCTGCGTTGAGTAGCGGTAAGTGGGTAAACGTCATGTGGACAATCACAAATGATAATGCTATGAAATATTGCGATAAGCCTCAAGAACGGCGTAGTGTAACTACCTGTAAATTTACTACCATACTCAAGGTGCCATTTTCAAGGTAAAGATGCACAAGGGAGTTAACTGGGAGTGACATGATTGTCTGATCAAGGAGCTTGAAAGATTGTTAGGTGACTGGAAAAATGTTGACCCTTGTGTCCTGCAGCTGCTGCACGCACACAGAAGATCAGGTTTGCATCCACAAGCATCCCCAGATCTCTTCAGAAACCTGCTACAGCTCAATGCCCCTTGTGGTGGAGGCCAAATTCCTGTTGTCCCAGCCTAGGTGTAGGGTTCTGCACTTGCCTTCATTGAATGGAGGCTTCCAGATGAACAAGCAGGCTGCCACAAAACAGACTCTTGCTGCAACAGGATCCAGTCTGGTGGTAAACTGTGGGTGAATTTTCAAAGGGCTACATAGCCACCATATGACTTCAGACAGATTTCTAAAAGGCCAAAGGAGATGGGGACTGACAGTGATCCCTTTGGAACATTGCTTATAGCTGGCATCCAGCTGAAAATGTACCCATTCACTAACACTAACTGCTTCCTGTCAAAAATGGAGGGTCTTGATCCACCATTCCACATTGCAGAAGTTAGTAGTGCTGTTAAATAATTTGTCTTTTTCAGGAGCCACCTATATGGCACAGAATCAAAGGCCTGGTGATGTTGGGCTCATGACATCAACAGGATGTCCAGCTGTAATTGTCTTGCTCCAAGCTTCATTGGATGTCACTATTGATTTTGGATTGTAGTTGATTGATCCCAGAGCCTACTTACTCTGCCTGGGGTCAGGATCAGTGGGGTTATTGTGTGCCTGTGTTGCAGATATTCAAGATGGATGATGAACAGGTGTGTCCAAGATGCAAGACCAGCAAGTACAGAAACCCATCTATGAAACTTATGGTGAATGTGTGTGGCCATCCACTTTGTGAGAACTGTGTCAATCTCCTTTTTGCCAAAGGTAAGCAGCAACCATGCTTCCACCATCCATCAATGGGGAACCAATTGCATGTCACCAAAGGCCTGATGTCATGGCTTTCTGTGCCAAGTTGTGCTGTTCATCATTAGGAGGGTCCTTTGGCATACTTCTTAAGCAGACAGGCAAAGTCCTGGTGCATTTTTCTGATTGTGCTTTACAAATATATTTAACCTAAAACCATATTTGTATCTTATCATTTGGTCATTTCTCTGTTTTGTAGTTTTCCAAGTACATCTTTGTAGCCCATTGGCTCTTTCATGCCCCCCCCCCCCCCCCCCCTGTATTTAAGCTGCAGTCGATGGTGCAGCTTATGCAAGATGTTGGAATGCTCTGGTCCTGGCATCGCTATTGTAAAACCCGCATTCTCATGTGGATACATGGACTGTGTTGTGACTCAGAGGCCCACGTGCGGTATGCCGGCAGGCTCGGGCACGTGCCCGCAGTGCGATGTGCCGCTGCGCCGCAACGGTTTCCGCGTGCAGCTGTTCGAGGACGCGACGGTGGAGAAGGACATCGACATCCGGCGGCGGATACTGCGCGAGTTCAACAAGCAGGAGGAGGAGTTCGCCTCACTGCGCCAGTACAATGACTACCTGGAAGATGTGGAGACCATCATCTACAACCTGGCTAACGGCGTCGATGTACTGGCCACCAACAAGAAGATCGAGGCGTACAAGCGCGACAACCGCGAGTCAATCGTGCGCAACCGCGCGCGCGGCCGCAACGAGGAGGACGAGCTGGACGAGATCCTGCAGCTGGAGAACGAGCTGAACGAGGAGCGCCAGCGCGATGAGCACGAGCGGCTGCTGGCCGAGCGGCGCCAGAAGGTCGAGAAAAAAGAGGCGCTCATCGACGAGCTGATGACCTCGTACGGGGACGCCAAAAGGATCGTAGCCGACCACACGCGCGCGGCCGAGCCGGCGGCGGAGGCGGCGGCGCCGCGGCCGCGCGCCAAGCCCACTCAGTTCTCGAGCGGCGTGCGGATCGGCGGCGCGCGCGTGGGCGTGCTGGCGCCAGCAGTGCCGGTGGACGAGGGTGAGCCGTTCGTCTACGAGCGGCCGACGCTGCCCATGGACGGGCCGGCGCCGCCCGAGCCCGAGCGGCTGGCCGAGGCCGGCTACCTGACGCACGTGCGGCTCGCCGGCGAGGCGGAGCGGGCCGGCGGCTACGCCGCCTCGCTCGGCTGCCTGCGCGCCGTGCAGGAGGCGATGGCTGGTCTTCTGTTCTTCCCCGGCGGCGACGGCTGAGATGGCCGCCGGTCTCGGCGGCGGCGCCAGGCCCAACCCCGGTTGATGGACCTGCTTGTGCGACCCCCGGCCCGTCCGGCCGGCGACGGCCGCCTGATACGGGGCGGATCTAGCGCCCGGCACGGCGTCGGACGGGCGGCAGCCGTACTCGAGGCGGTGGCGAGGCCAGGTGTGCGCGCCGCGATCGCCCTGCTCCACGACCGGCCCGTCCAGAGCCGGGACTGCGCCACGCGTGGCGCGCCGCCTGCGTGCGGCATACGTACCTGACCAGCGGCAACCAAGGCTCTTGGTTATTGTTTTCGGTGAATAAACGGCGATGCGCTTTCAGTCTTGTTTCTATCGGCCCCCCATCCGGAAACAAAGAGTGCTTCCGGTGCGAAGTTTTGTTTGCCGTGAATATATAGCTCGCCACAGCCTTACAATGCAGTCGTGAAAGGGCTGATTAGAACTGTGCAGACGTAACAAAACGTGCTGAAGGGCATAAACCCCGACCAATGAAAGTTAAGAACAGTTGTGCCAAATCAGTGTACGTGAGCTGATGCGGGCTTCCCTCCGGTCATGTAAGATTCGGCCCGTTCTCAAGACGCAAGCCTCCGGTCCAAGCGTGCCCTCCAAATCGCCGTTGTTCTGACGCATGTGGGAAGTGTGGTGAAGGTACGGAGGTCTCGCGTGCCGTTCAGGTAAAGGCACAGCGGCCCGTTTGTGAGCTGCACTCACCTTACCGGCAGAACGCGGAGGCCTTTTACGAGATTCTACGACAGGCGGGCCTGCGTCTGAAAACCCCGGCACACGGAGCGTGTTGCCGAGAAATGACCGGCACTCCAGCCAGACCCCGCACGACCGGCGAATTACGTAATGCTCGTAACGAGTATAGGTCAATCTCCAGACGCTTCCATATACGTAAATTAAGTTTCAGTCTGCATTCATCAATATTCGGACTGCACTATGGACGCGACATGAATACCCTCGTACATTAGTCACACCTCAATGATGCGGTGAAATGAATACCTTGAACTGGCAAAGACACATGCATGCAGGTCATTACGCTTCTCACGGCGTTATGATACTATTTCTGCATTATCCTACGGCGTCCTGTACGTGACAAAATGGTAAACGCGTTCGTCAACCTAAACCACTAATGGAAATAACTTATGCCGAGTAACGCCCCATATGCTGCTCCACGCCAGGAACGGCTGAAATAGGCATGCTTGCACCATGGTCTTGAAACTAATCAAAGAACAAACGACTGCACAACGTTCTTCAATGGTTCTTACCTTTTCACCGTCAGCTCACACCTCGGCATCAGGCCTCTCACACCATGAACATAACTCAAACACCGCAAGCGCAAGACCGCTGCCACATACATAAACCGGCAGTCATTTCATCGCCCACGCCTGCCAAAACAACATATCAAAACAAAGCAACAGCTCTCACGAAATGCACTGATCCACACATGAACCCCTCATCAGCACGGCCGACACCACACACAGCCGCGCGTGGGTGGCGACCTCAGCCGCCCCGGCGCTCAGTCGGAGTCGTCGGCCGTCGGCTCGTCTTCGTCGCCGCCCATGGAGCGCAGGAACGCCATCGCCACCCGCTCGGCGTAGTCGTGTCGCTGGCTCTCCGGCACGCGCGCCGCCGCCGCGCGCAGCTCGGCCAGCTGCGAGAAAAGTGCTTCGAAGTCGTCAACGCCGTCCGAGCCTGCGGCGCCAGCGGCGGGCCCCACCATCGCGGCCATCTCCGACACCAGCGAGTCTGTCGGCGGCGACAGATGCTTAGCAGGGGCAGCAGAAAAGAGTCAGGCAGAGACGCAACGCGGGGTCAGAGGGACAGCGACACAGCGTCAGGCGAGGCAGCGACACAGCGTCAGAGGGACAGCCACACGGCGTCAGCAGAGCAATGACACAGTGTAAGAGGGACAGCGACACAGTGTTAGTGGGGGGCAGCGACACAGTGTCAGCGGGGCAGCGACACAGTGTCAGCGGGGCAGCGACACAATGTCAGCACGGTAGCGACACAGTGGGGCAGCCACTGGGGTCAACAGGGGAAGCAAGTCAGCAGCGGGAATGGTGACGGTCAGCAGTGGCAGCATGAAGGCCACTCGGGAGAGGATAAGCATGTTTCTGGGGATGTCCACCGAGCAGGTCGCCCGGCGACCAGTGACAGACACGTCGCCCACGCACCGACGGCGTCCGTATCTCTGTTGTCGGCGGGCGTCGGCGCCGGCGCGGCCGCCGTCGGGACGGCGCTCGGCCGCTCCTCGGTCAGCTCGTCCAGCAGACGGTTGGACACCTCCGGCCGGTGGTCTGCAAACACGTGCCGGCTGAGGAAGGAGGACCGAGCCAGCGGTCCGGACGCAAGAAGCCGGTAAGCGATGGTGTTTTGGACACCACACAACACTGGCTTGAGAACACTCTTAGACGTGAGAGCTTTCCTCGCATCACCATTCTTCGCTCTCTGATCCAGCGGGCCGCGGAAAACACCACCTAATGGGAACGCCGATGGCGCCGCGCAGACCACAGGCGTGGTCGCCGGCCGTTCACGCCGCACGCTCTCGCTCGTCTGCACCGTTCCGGCCCACCTTTCATGACGAGGTTAGACCAGGTGTGCGCGTGCAGTGCCTGCGTGATCCGCTGTACGCCGGTCGTCTCCGGAAAGTCGTCGTCGGGATCAGCCTCCTCTGAGGGGCTTAGTTCTACAAGCTCGAAGCCGTGACCGACGCACCACTCTTGCGCTGGCGGAGGTAGTTACATTGAAATGCCCACTCAAACCTGTGACTGATGTATCACTCCTGGGTATGATCCAGACAATTGTTAAGACTAGGCAGGCTTCATGCACTCAGGCCCCCATCTTCTGCACTGCTCCTGCTGACAGGGCCAATAGAGGGCATTAATGGCAAGTTAAACCTGTGATTTTGACACCATTCCTGCACTGGCTGGGTCAACAGTGAGCACTTACACATCATTCATGCCTGATAAGAGTCAGTAGAGGCATGTCACCACCAGTGTTGAGTTTGTACAAACCTCGTAACCTGGAGACAGGAGTATTCTCATGGCAGGTGTTGCACACAAGAATGCAAACATCTGGCTCAAATTCCTTGGTGAATGCCAATATTGAGTCCACTTCATCCAGTCCATTGGCCTGGAATGGTAGTGCTGGTGAGGGGAGGGGACAGGGGCAGTATAAAAATAACTGAAATCAGGTTCTTTCTTCATCCCATTCATACCACACATAATGGGAACATTTTGTATTTTAGAAGTGACAGTGTACTTATCTATTTTGAATCAAATTTGGGGCTCAAATGCAAGCAGCACATGATGGCAACAAGTACACACCACATATCCTGGGGATAAATTGAACCCAGCAGCCCACCTCATCAGAGTTGAAGTAGATGACAACAGCTTCACACCTATCTGCCAAATTCTTGTCTGGAAGACCCTTTCTCTGAACATGGCACAGCAAAACATCAGCAGTGTAGTATTTATTGTCCACATGCCAAGGATAGCAAACAACCAGATCTGAACTGCTTCTCTCATCCAGTGATGATCCAGGCATATCTGAAACACCATCAGAAGCCAGAAGCTGCACACTTGTTGTCATAAAAAGACCTGGCACGGTCAAGAGACTATTCTCCTGGTCTTTCTATGTGAAATACAGCTATTAGTACTGCATCATCTTTGTGTATAGTGTTTCTTGTAAATCCAGTTGAGAATTTACGTAATTGCGACTGCTTGCATTATTGTTTTTGTTTTACATTCCAATTATCATGCAGCTTGGCTAAAAACAACTTATAATGCAACTTGTTTGAGAATGCAAGTGCATGATACTTCCTTTGCCTAAAAGTAATCCTTCATACATAAATGCATTGTTAACAACAAGGCGTTGGCACCAATTTCAAAACTGCTCAAGGATCTGTGTTGTAAGAAAGTCAAGAACTAAATTCTGATGAATTTGCATTACTTTTATTCAGGAAAGTGATACATACTGTGAATAATGTTGTTAACCACAGTGGATTCTGGACCATAGATAAAGACACATGGCTCTGTGTCTGGCAGCATATTGAACAGATCGTTGCCTGCTTGCAAAGGCAATAACCGAGCGCCTGGCTTGGCGACGGCGGGATCACGATCGCGTAGCACGTTAGTTGACGTTAGGTAGCCTTGGTAAGACCTCACATGCGCGACGAATGTCTTTTGAGCGCTATGAACATCTGTGTAAATAAAAGGAAACAAATAATACAAACTATTTATACTCCTAACCTATCCATTAGCTTTAGGATCGGGGCACAAAGCTTAAAGCTGCCTTGAAATGTTCTTATAATGCTTTTGATGCAATTTTGAGTTGTATATTTTATTAACTGTATGATGAATGTATCAAAAAAATGCAGAAGAACCAAAAAATCAGAGTAAGTTTATTTTGGAATGTTTCATCTCTATAATCTTCAAGAACTCGTAGTTGTCATTTGTGGTGGGAGACCGTGTGGTGTACATTTGGTAGCGACCGTTTATATAGTATTGCACATCTCTCACTCAGGAACGCAGTTAATAGGCGTGTTATGGAGGTAAGAAGTTTTCGCTTCGTGTTTTATCCCCTGGTCAGTTTGAGGTGTATTATGAGGATTTTTACAATCAACCGTGTTGCATTAGACGCGGGGCTGCCATTTTATACGACCGTATAGTGCATTCCCAATAAATGTGTAGGGGAACTCTTTAGCGACTTTCGGCAACCGCCAGGAAAAGTCAGGATGCCAACATCGCAATGGAAAGCGTGGACTGGCCTTTCAAGAAGACAATTTAATGCACCCACAGGTCAACTCCGTGTCCACTTGAAAGCTAAACTCGCATTGCAGTTGTCGTCAAGCTCCTTAGCATACGCATCCAAATACATTTCAACCATTAGCGCAGAGAAGGCTGGTGCGGACAGGGCGTGTTGATAACAAAACAACGGCTTGTGGGCTAACATCGCAGACTCCCGCCATCGGTCAATTGCCATTTCCAATGTCCTGAGGGTTTTAAGCCAGAATCTCATGGATTACGCTGTTTCTGGGGGCTGCGCCTCGGACGTTGTGCCTGGAGGTTGAATGTCTTGGAGGCTTATTTAAGTGTGGGGAGTGGGAAGGACGGAGCCTGGCCTTCCCGCCGTTCCGCTGTAAATGCAGCTTCTTCGCTATGGTGATGTATGCAGGAAATGGGCTTCGAAAGGTAGCTTTGGTCTTCCCTTTTTAGAAGCACTCTCACCTCTGCTAGGCAATCCTTTGACCCGACGTATTCGTCTGGGAAACCAGAGGTACGGGGTTCGATTCCCCGCGGTGCCCACCCTTCCTGCCAGGTTGAGAAGCAGGCGACGCCGTATAACGTCAGCAGCTGATTGCGTCGTAAAGCCCCAATGACACACGAAGTGCGCGTCGACGTATGCGTTTATTCGACGCATGCGTCGGTTGGCCGTGAGGGTCGCCTTCATGCCGGATTCACGGTTCACACTTGCGCCCAGCGCGTGCATCGCCCCTTCCCCTCCCCCCCCCCCCACATGCGCGCCCGACGCGTGCTTAGCTCCCTTCCTCCCCCCACCCACGGCACTCGCAAAGTTTGTGCCCGCGGCCTAGAGCCGGCACTGCACCGGCGCTCCGACGCCTCACCTCCCGTAAAGTTGGATACCCTTTCCGGCTCGACGAGTGCCATGTAACGGCCCCTCGCGCCCTTCCCGATAGCAAGACGAGACCAATGTAGCGGCGGTATTCTTATCGCATGTTCAATGTAAACGCCTCAGCCTACACGTGGTCGCCGTCGCCGTCCGGCATCGATGACGATAACACCAAACGCTTGTTATTGAATACGGTATCCGTGGTTTGAATTGGCGTGTATCATGTTATGGTATTGTCCATCGACTGCACCGCCCCCTATGCAGACCGCTGGCGGGGTGGACGCGGCCGCCGAGCCGCCGTATGAGGGACCGACGGTTCTCGAGGGCGCTGATGTCGACAAGGTGCCGGATACGATCCTCGAAGTCGCCGTAGACAGCGAGATGCTGCTGGTGTCGCCGCAGGAGCCAGCCGCCGCGGCCGAGACGCCCGTCAAGACGGCGAACCGACGCTACCAGAAGTACCGGTCCTCCTGGGAGGACATCCCGCAGCTGAAAGGTGTGTCACCCAGCGCGTCTCGCCAGCCACAGCTGCTGACCCCGCAGAAGTGGGCCAGATAGGCGGACGGTCGTTTGTCGGGGTCGGACATCGACACTGCATCCCAGACGCTCCATGTCCTGAAGTGAAGTATGCGAGTGTCTGTCAACGATGTGATTCAGCAATGATGTCCGAGCAAACCACGCTGCTTTTACGATAGCACCAGTGCACCACCTGCTATCCGCGCTGTACAAACCCGCTGAGCCCCCGACGCGCGCTGACAACGCCCCGATGGGCCGCCAGGCTGGCTGGAGTCAGTGCAGGACAACCCGCGCGTGGCCTGGTGCCGCGTCTGCCAGTGTGCCCTCACCTGTCACCTGAAGAATCTGATGGTGCACGCCTCCAGCAGCAAGCACCGCAAGCGCTCGCTGCTGCCGCCGGCGCCGGCGCCGGCGCGCGTGCCGGTGCGGGTCCGGGGACGGCGCGCCCCCGCTGGCGCCGTGCGGCCGCCGGCCGCCGCGCCCGCGGGAGGCGACGCCCCTCGGCTTGACGTGTCATACGCGGTATGGAGACCCGGCTGCGTCGGCTGTGGGGCCCAGGTGCTGGGCTAGGGGAATGCGGGTCGCCACACGCAGCGGCTGCCAAGCTCACTGAGCTTGGATTGTGCGTTGCTTGATGGTATCCTCCGCCGCGTTATTTGCGTGAAATATGCTTGCTTTGTGTGATGGCCCAGCCTTCTGTGGCGCTGCGCCGGACTGGAGAGCGCGCAGCCGTAACTTTTTGGGCGTGCCGTGTTTTCCGT